AAGCCGAGCCGTTAAATTGCTCAGCTAAGCCGATCGGCTTATGGTTCTGCAGAGTCGTTTTTCATCACCAGGGTTAGGACGATAGAGTTTCTATTAATAAAATTTCACGAGGAACGTTTTTAATTAGGCCGTAGTAAGTGATTTCTTAATTAAATTTCGAGTTATTTCTGTTTTTTGTAAAAAAAATGGTCTGTTTACTTTACACCTAATCTTGAAAGTTGATTGGTCAAAAATCGTAGAGTTTGACTTTAATCATCATATAATTTATCGTTATCAACTTTCTGTTATAAAAGAATTTTAACCAATCAAATTATTTAGCTATGCAAAATAATTCATGTGATCGTAAGGACAAGTGACAACTAACAAAAACTAAGTAGATAAAGAATTTGCCTTAAATGTAAAAAAGAACAATACGTACGATGAGTTTATATATAGATATCTACCATATATAACTTAAGATGCATTATTTAATCTTATGTCCCTGACGTTAGAAAGACATTGCATATTCGTGCATATACGAGTTTCTATAAGCCCTTCGTTCAACCCGTCCCCAGTACTAGTTTAACATAATAATAATAATAATAATAAATTAATACACAAATTACAGAATTATAACGACTTATAATTATACGTATATGTATATGATAAAGTATTAATGTTAATATATAATTTACATATATATATTATACGTAGTATTACTGTATGTCAAGATGCAAAGGAATTCTAAATAAACTTAAGAAATTTCAAATTTTACTTACGTAATATATCGATCAAGTAAACCTTACTATACTCATTTAAAATAGTAACCGTTCAAATAGTCGTTACTATTGGTCCAACTAAAAATATTTTTATCCTAAATTTTGTCCAAGTCCAAATCTATAAGTTCGGGACAATTTAAATCCGATCCAAATATAATAATTTTAAAATTTATATTACAGCTTCAATGTCTGCTACACTTCAGATAATAATTATGATGCTTTTAGGATATGTACATAGGGATTCATACCTTGCTTGGGATTGGGCCAAGTGCTTTACTAATTTGAGAACAATATATAAAAGGTTTAATTAATCCAAAATATAATTAAAATCCAAAACTAGTTAGATTTGGACGACAACGATAAGAATAGCCGAATTAAAAAAATATGACTTAGTATAAAAATTCTTGAGATTTTAGAAAATAATGTATATTATCGAATTAATTTAATATATTCTTGAAATTAAATATGATTAGCCCTTTAAGGTATGAGCAATTCCTTGAATTTAGAATCTATCTAGAGATATAGGTGCGAAAAGCATCATATGCATAATCGTTTCACGCATAATCAAAATGGGTTAAACACTTTATGGATGTTTGTATTTATAAGCATTTTTTATTCGTTAAATTTCATTAGCTATAAAATTACCGAGTATAATAATAGTGATAGAGTTCGGAACCGAATTCAACTTTTCGGATTCGATTTAAACTAATCTACCGAATATGGATTGTACCTAGAAAAAAATCGGTACCCAGGTATTATTAAAATATCCAGGTACCCGGCCGGTGTTGACATATAAAATTTTATATATCCAAATTCGCCCAATTGCCAACACTGGAGCATTCGGGTAAATATTATATCATACTGATAAAAACTTTATCCGGGTACAAAGTCTACTACCGAATCTGAAATACTTATAATTTGTAATACCAATGCATAGAGAATAAATATTCAAGCACACGAATACTTTTGTCAGAGTGTATGTGTATACGTACAATGATACTATTTAATATGGACATATTTTTACCGTCGTTCTTTTTGAATTTGACTAAATTCGGATATTGGTTTAACAATTCAAACTTAAATTTGAAACTGAAAATCTAATAATTCTGATATCGATAAAAATTTAACCGATAATCATTTGATATTAATATTCGATAGGTTTTTGATTTTGGCCTATCTGTATATAAAAAACACATTATTGATAGAATAAAAAAAGCCTATTTCAGCTGCCTTTAGACTAGGGTGTCTGGCACACCAAAAAAATTTGGCATGCCACAGGGCATGCCTTTTATTAAAATTTGTGCTATGGCATGCCAAAAGGCATGCCATAAAATATTATATTGTATATATACTATATATATGGTTTTGGGTATTATAAGCATAATTTTTATACTGTACCCAGTGGCATGCCAAATTTGTTTTTGGCATGCCAGGGCATGCCACCATTGGCATGCCACTGTTGGCATGCCTTTGCCACTATGCCAGACACCCTACTTTAGACCCTACCCCACATGATTTTATTGGTATTTTGTAGCTGCAAGTTTCGTATTATGATTGTATTGTATTAACCCATGCGCGCGCACTAATTTGGAAGTAAAGCAAAAATATACGTATTATGCGATAGAATTAATTCAAAAATAGAGCTTCCTAAATCAATTCTATCGCATAATGTACTTCTACTTCCAAGTTAGTACACGTGCATAGGTAAATACAATACAATTATAATGCGAAACTTGCAGCTACAAAAAGATTGAATTTTGTAGCTGCAAGTTTCGTATTATGATTGTATTGTATTAACCAATGCGCGCGCAATAGCTAAGAAGTAAGATTAGAGGTACATTATGCGATAGAATTAATTTAGGAAGCTCTATTTTTGAATTAATTTTATCGCATAATATATTACAATACTTGCAGTTACAAAAATTCTAGTAAAGTCGGCTGAAATAGGACTAAATCATCACTTTATTGTGATATTTTATTTCAAAAGACACACGTTATTGATGCTCATAGATTCTCTTACCATAAATGAATAAAAAAATCCAAGAACTTTACAGGGAAGCAGTCTTGCGACCTTGACAAGTATATATTTAGAAATAACAAATTCATTCGTCATAAAAAAAAAAAAAGTACCTTGAATATGAAAGCTTTATTTATTCATTTATTATTTATTATCTATTTGAAACTCCTCTGCATATAAGTTTGTATAAACCTTAATCCAGTATCACTCATCTTTTCTTTGCAACATTTTTTCGTTATTATATGAACAAAAGATATCGATATATTTAATGCTTATAAATCCGGTTACTATTGGAACTAAACCTGTATATCGAGACAAGTTTGTTTGAATAATGTGCCTCAATTTATCTAATTTGTTTACGTTAAAGACTATTTTTGTCAGTTGTTTTTCTAAAAGTGACAGAAATTCTTCAATCTATAGAAGACTTGCTAAAATCTAAGTATTTGTTTATTGCCAGTATTTAGTCAATATTCAAACTAGATATTCGGTCATAATAAATATGATTGCACAAATACAAATAATGCCGAATTCAAAAAACTTTATCGAATTTGGCCGAGTAATCATCAGTCAGCTGTTTCAGAACTTATGAGAACAACCGTAAAAATATTCGGATAAATTCTAGCCGATAATATACAAATTTAATTATAGCCTAATTTAAATTTTTTTGACTATTTAGCTTCTTTGCTGTTACGATGGAGATGAATCACGTGATTATGTTCGATATGCTTCTGCACGTTTTTTTTTTTTTGAAGGCGCTAATTTTGCGATCGAATAACTCAGGTGAATTCGTTATATTCGATCACGCGAATTCCTGACCAAGAAAAAGAAATTCATATGTAATTCTGCGTTCTAATTAATTAACAATTAATTTAGAAATTAATTTTACGAATTTTTTAACGCCCTCACGTGAATTTGTCAGCCCCTGGATGAATGTAATCTATCTATAGAAATTTGCATGTTAATATCCTCTCCCCTGCATCCTTCAAAGTTCATTCGCTTCGTTATGCATAGTATTGCTGTCGTGTCATGTGATCGATCGACGAATTACCAAGCAACATATATCCGAAATAAAATTACACGTAGATAAAGTGTGGCGCACGAAAACGCAATACATACATTTAAGAAAACGCTTGTTAATTCATATTTTAACAAAAAATGCTACTTACAAAGTTTTAGTATATAGCTTACTCTAACCTTAACATTAAAACCTAACCCTAACTCTAACCAACAAACATTTATAAATCGGAATGCATTATGCAAAAAATTATAGGCTACACATTATACATATATAAATTCACGTAACTGGCCTTTGTTTTTAAAACAATGCATAATTTTCTGAACACAGCATATACCAATAGAATGAATGTCTGGTTTAACACTCTCAATATCGGGATTTGATTGTTTCGAATAATTACATATTAGGAAAATGAACTAATCTGATTTTGAATATTCTAATTCAATTTTTTGCATTGTCTCCTATCAAACCCTGCGTCGTATAAAATGTTCTATTTTATTTTCTAATAAGTGTTACAAATTTACGATCGCATGCTCAATTTTTATTTACATGACAGCAACAATAGATTTAGATGACTTATTCGCATTGAAACTGTATTACCATTAAAATACATTTATACGGTTGCACTTTAAGGTGTTAGCGTTTCACGTACGTACGTCCAGTACAAAGAAATAATATATTCGCAATACTCGCAATATATACATGCAATATATATGCAAAAAAATTTCTCACGAATAATATTTTTATAACCTTTAATTATTGAATAAGTAATTGTGTTCGTTACATTTCGTCTTACTAAAATCACAGTGTGAAGTTGAATTTTCACGTTACACGCTGATATTGAAATTTTGTTGGCCGATCAAGAGAATGCGGGGATGCGACAAACATTTACTATGCAATCTAATACCATGCAAGGCGTAAGGGAAATCAAAAATTGTAGTACACATTATCAATTTAACGTTAATAGATTAGATGCTAGAAAAAAATTTTTAAAGTAACTCAAATAATGTATATAATATCCCTTATTTCCCCAGCGTAAAATTCACAATTATAATTTTTTAATTTTCATTTTTCGTGAAAGATACATTGACCTTGACGGTTATTGTTCTTTCTTTAAATCATATTACGAACCTCTTTAAAATAAGCTTGTATTTTTAACTATAGATTCATAACTATATACTTTAATTAATCCTAGACTGAAAGAAAAAAAATGTTCAAAAGAACTTATGTATCAAACACTCACATAGAAATTGAAAATACTGATTTTCATTATCGTTACGATGAAGATGTCGTAATTATCTGGTGTCCTAATGATCAAATGGCTATTTTTATACATCGAGAAATGAAATTAACGACAAAACAACGGCTGATTAAAAGGTTGGAGAAGAAGAAGAGATGCTATTATAAGGTTGGTTTATTAATATGTTTAATTATTATTATTATTATTATTATTGTGAAATTTTTTTTAATTATTAATATCTATATTTTTGTAGAAATTAACAAATCTTTTCAAGAAGAATAGCCAAAAAGAGAGTGATGATGACATGGATTTTTGCTGTTGTGGCTAATGTACATTATATCTTTGGAGAAATATTGCTTCAAGAAAAGAAAAGTATTGCTTCAAGAGAAGATACCGTCACACCCGCGTCCGTCATTGTTGAAATGCAGATGCGGTCAGCAAATAATTGCAAGAAAAGTTAACGATAAATTTTTTAACAAATTATGCTAGGCTTCACATTTAAGTCATCTTATTAACCTATATGAACTTTAAGAAAAACTTCACCTATGATTATTTAATTTTTTGTAAATATTTTTAATTATTACTTTCTAAATTACACATAATACTTGCTATACATAATTCTTGTCGTTTAGATTAATTTTTATGTCATTCCTATTTCAAGTTACTTCTAAAAAAATTAGACATTTTTACATTAGACTATTTTAAAAAAAAACATTGTAAAGCATAGACAAAAAAGAACATTTCTGAAACAAAATATTTAATTATTCTAGAAAAAATAAACATTAGTTATCCTTATATATTTTTATATAAATTTGTATATAGAAAGCTTATTAACTATCGGGCTATCCGTTATTTCAATTATAGTGTTAACTTATAGATATCGATATGGCAATTAAATTAATTACATATGTATCAGATCTATACGCATGCCACTAAAAATTTACTTATTTCACAAAGTAGTACACACCCGAAAAAGAAAGTTTAATGTAAAAATAGACTAGTTATTTATTATCATAGTATAAAAAACAGAGTGGTACTATTTCTAATTTGAATAAATAAGCTCTTATTTTAATTTACTTTTTATCGCAAAATCCTGATTTTATCTTGCTGATTTTCAAACCGCTTGCAATGTTTATTCTCTTTTAGCCAGATCTACTTACTTCACGATTTTAAACTACTATTTCTGTATTTACTCCATTTCTCGATTCTAATTGGCGATTCGTAATCTATTACTATGACCATTATTACTATTTACCAGAGTATCGCCCACCCATCCTCCCTACCAAATTGATATTAAGGGTGTTCTCAAGCAGCACGCTCGATGTGATTTGCTATTGATTAAAATAGTGCTCAACCATTATGGCGTTATTAATTAGACCATTTTTGAGAACCGATAATATATATGATGTTGAAGACCATCTTCCATAATGGATTAATTTATGATCGTGCTGGTGCTCAAGTATTATGATTAATTAAAATATTGATTGCAATTGATGCTTGAGCAAACTTCTTTATCATCACTACCATTTAACAACTATCTTTTTACAAATAGAAATAAATAAATTAATGAAAACGATGGATCAACGAAAGGATAAAGAATCTACGACTTCCAAAACTTCTTTTTCGGAATTTACTACGAATCAACAGAACACAAAAACGTGCCTCTTTTATTTGCGGCGAATATTTTTAGTATAAATAATAAGGTAATAATAATTTGTCGACGTTGATAATGATTTTGAAGATCCATAACAATAACGATAATTAATGTAAAAAGAGTGAAGTACTTGAACAATTATTTTTTCTAATCAATCAATGAAAAATTTCGACCAATAAACGCAACTCTATTGTAAAAAAAGGACGTCTTGCAAACTTATAATTAAATTAATTTTGTATTACAAAATCAAAAATACCAAAATTAATTATATTGTTTTGCATTTTTAATAATTATTGTAGTTTTCAAAGCCCGATAATGTTTATTTAAACTATGTACGTGTATGTACATACAATATAAAGCATTGTATTAATTAAATATAACTGCACATTATCTATATTATAAATATTAATCTATCGCTATTGTGCTATAAATTCTTTATATACATATTAGAATTTATGTATAACTACTGTATAAATATAATTACAAATCGAATTCACCATTTATTTTGAACATTCTATTTATTAAATCATCTATATTATAATCCATATTTCCAAGCGAATTTGACCATTCGCTGTCAAATGATATATTAGTAAGGTCAATGACTTCCGAAATTAAGAGTATATTATCAGTCTGCTCAACTTCCGATAGAATAGTTTCTTGATAATTTGATAGTAAATGTTCTTGCCCATTTAATGCTAAATGTTCTTGATTATTCAATAGAAATAAAAGCTTATTAATATCAGAAATCATAGCATCGTTTACTGAATCTTTTAATTCCTGTTGAGTTAAATCTTTTTCATAGTAAATTAATTCTTTTTAATATTTGTTAAATACTAAGATCGAAACTTTTGCTATTGGTTCAATATTATTAACATCAAGGTTATGTTAGTTATTTTCATAAAACCATCCTAATATAGAAAAGTTTCTTTCACATCCTGCCTGAGAAGGCATTATTGAAACCAATTTAATAGCAAGTTTAACTAAAGATATTTCACATCTTTATTATAAGCCACCAATCAAGCACAGTTTCACTTTTTTCTTTATATTCTATTTTAAAAAAATCATCATTTCATTTATATTTTCTAAAATAAGCTAATAAGTTTAAACATGTTTTTTTTGTTATTTTCTAAAGCTTTCTAATATTCAGATATAATTTTACAAATTTTTTTAAATGTTTCTGCTTTTAACCCCAAGCCACAATAACCAAAATATTCAAGTAAATAAGTATCATAACCAAATTCTTTATATTGATAATTAAATATATTAATAGTATTAATTTTTAAATTATTTTTTTCAGGTATTTGATTAATTGCACTAGCTAATTTTATAACAATTAGCTATTGTTGCTGTTTTTGCTTTTAAAATATTAATGGTATTTTTGATTAGTTTAAAAATTTCTGAAATTATTTTACATATTTAAAATAATTTATTATTTTTAATATAATCTAATATATTTTTATTGGTTAAAACATTAGAATATTTATACTTAATTTATAAAATTTATAAAAATAATAATATTAATAGAAATAATTTATACCAATGTTGTTTACTAGAACATTCTAATAAGAATTACTGGAATTAGAAGACTACAGGAACTAACTGGAAGAAAAAAGTAATATATTGTCTTATATATTAGCAAATTTAATATGGGCGTAATATTGCAAAATAATTTATAAAACATAAGAACATTGTAAAATTACATAATAACTTTTACAATATTGGAAATATAAAATTATGAAATATTATGTAAAATATTATACAATATTATATAAAACAATTCAAAATAATTTGAAACAGATTGAGATAAATTACTATGAAATATAAAGCAAAATAATTTGAAATATAT